TGAGAAGATGAGGGGAGCCGTGAGAAGATGAGGGGAGCCATGAGAAGATGAGGGGAGCCACGGAGGCACTGAAGGGAGTGGAGCTGGGGACTGTTTTGAGATGGGTGATGTAGTAGTGACATGGAGAAGCTGCTAGAAGCCTAGGGTTCCTCATAGCACACCCACTCCTAAGCCCTCACCCCTCTCCATGACCGAGAGGAAGCAGAATGGGTGCCACGGACTGGAGTGTGACTAGACTCTCCAGGACCCTGAGCCCTCTGTAAGTAACTTAGAGAGGGCCCAGGCCTGGCAGGGAGTGGAAAGCCAGCCTGAGAATTAGATGCCATTTCTTAGAGAAATGACAGAGACAGTACTTCAAACCAGTGTGACTTAGGGATGAAAGGACATTAGTGGCCTGTATAAATGAAAAGCCGGGGCAGTGGCTTGGAGCACAAACGAAGTCAATCAGCACTCACCTCCCCGCCACTCAGCTCTGCTTCCTTCCGTCCTGGCTGTACTATTGGACACACACCCCTGTACGGGAACAGCAGCTTCAGGCTGCTGCTCGCTATGCTGGGACCCAGCAAGGGTGGAAGTTGCATCTAACCACAGGGACCGCAGGCGGAGCAGCTGATCCTGCAGAGCACAAGCCTGGCAGGGGCACGGGTGCAAACCTGAGAACATTTGTGGAAACGGATGTTCTCCTGCTTTGGATGCTGTGCAAGATCTTCCTGGGAGGGAAAGGCAGCCAAAACCTGCATGCCAAGCTGGACACTGGCTGTCACACAAGGACCCTCTGTGTCCTTGAGGAGTTCAGAGGAGAGAATCACACATGTACAGCCAGACTTGGATCCACCGGAGCCTCGTGCATGAAGACCATAGGAGCAAAGAAGTAATTAGCATGCTAGAGGAGAATCAGTGTCTAGACCAGTGTTTCTCAACCTGTGGATCGCAAACCTCCCCCCACCCCCAGGATATCGGCTATCCTGCATATCAGATATTTACATTACCATTCATAACAGTAGCAAAATTAGTTATGAAGCAGCAATGGAATAATTTATGGTTGGGGGTCACCATATGAGGAACTCTATTAAAGGGTTCCAGCATTAGGAAGATTGAGAACCACTGGCCTAGAGACTGGTCTTCAAAGGATGACTATGGTTCATTAATTAGGAAAGAAGGATTGATATACGGGAGAACAATCTAGACCTGGGAGATGTAGTGTGTTGGTCTACAGGGAGTCAAAATGTGGAAGGAATGGTTTTAGGAAGTAGGTGGCACATGGGAGTGACACTGGAAGGGCCCTGGGAAGAGACCTCATGAGCAGTAGGGAGCCATCAAAGGTACAGGCCGCCCACTCTCTTATGGGTAATTGTTAGCTTTTAAATTGTACTTCCTAACATGTCTCCTACAGAGGTACTAACACACTGTTTCTCTTTCTCTTTAACCCTGTGCCTGCCTGTCTTGCTGTCTGTCTTCCCCCACCTAACTCCTCCTCCTAACTCTCTCCTCAAGGGTCGCTGACAAAGCGTTCTACCAGCAGCCAGATGCGCACATCATTGGCTATGTGTACGTGTCTCCTTTGCTCTCAGCAGGGGCAGCTGTGGAGGGCAGCCCAGCGGCCTTGCAGTCTCTTGTCTGTGTGGTATCAATGAATGTGGCTGGGCTTAGAGCAATGGTCAGAGCAGGAGGCAAACTCCAGTACTGCTGCAGTCCTTGCCTTCTATTCTTCTGTCTGTCCCTCCAGCAAACTGGAGGCAGCTTTGCCCATTAGAGTTCCCAAGTAGGGGCGGAGGAGGGGATGCACTACCCAGCCTCCCGGGAGGGGCAGAGGACACCCAGGCTAGCTCCTCTCTGAGATGCTTCTTGGGGATGGGGAGGTGAGACGGGGACTTGTATTGGTCCAACACCACGCATAGAGTGCTGGAGGCATAAACAGTAAGAGATGTCTTCACGTGTCGACCCCTGCCCCGACCCCTAGGCACACTGACTTGACCATGAACCCTCACCCACTCCACAGCAGCTCCTCTCCTATGCGTCTGGGTTTGAACTGGCTGGAACTGTGCTGCTCTGGATTTGGAATGGCGAGCAGGTTTCCTCTTATGCCAGCCCCAGGTGACAGGTGGTGTGTTCTGGACAGCCGTATTGGGGAAGCGACAGTGAAGAGTGATTTCTGAGGGCTGTTTACTCATTTCATACATTCCCTTACTGTTCCCGCTGGAGCTGGCCTTGCTGAACCACATGCCACTGCAGCCTCTACAGCCAACTGCACTGGCCCTCCTACACAGCACGGGGCACAGCACGGGGCACAGCAGGCAGCAGCCTTCCTTGCCTTCCGCCAGCCCCTCCTTCTCCCATCTGGCCCTTACCTGCTGGTGCCAGTCACTGCTCGAACAGAGAGAAGACACACAGCCCTCCCCCTGCAAGTTGCTCATGGGTTGGAATACATTATATTAGGAGCTCTGGAAGCCACCTTCTCCACTGGGGACGCAATGCATGATTCAGACTCATGACCCCCAGCTGCACCTTAAGATTTAAAAATGAGTTGCTGGGTAGTGAGGGTTGAGAAGGACACTCTAGGTGGAGAAGCAGCTGGGGCGGAAGTCGAGAGAGGACCGAGGGGCTGGGTTTGTAGGATGGATGGAACCTGAAGTGGGAGGCCCCAGCCTCCCTCTCCTTTGTGCTAGGCTCAGAGACTTAGATTTGACCCTCAAGGCAGTGGGGAGCCACGGAGGCTTCTAACGGGAAAGGGGTACCTGGCAGGTGTGGGTGCTGTAGAACACTGCTGGGTTCAGTGCTCCTATTGGACCCACGGAACTGGTCCAGAGAACCCAAGAAGGCTCCGAAGGAGACAGAATTGGAATCGAGACTTCTCAGCCTTCCACCTGCCCACGCATTTCCAAGGGGGCTTGAGCACTGCAGATTCTGGTTCCGCAGGACTGAGGTGAGGCTCAGCCTGTTCCTAACAAGCTCCAGGGTGATGCCCGTGCTGCGAGGCATAGCCCACGGATTGGCAGTAAAGACAGATGGGAGCCTCCTGACCCTGACGGGCAGCTCTAAGGATAAAGCCTGCATCCACACTCACTGTCCAGCCCCACACACATAGACTTGTCACCACACTGGCTGCTCAGGTCAGAGAACAGATCAGAAGAGTGGGAGCCATGCCTCTCCTCACAGGCCAGCTGAGCATACTGCAGGAAGCCAAGATCACGACAGACGGTCACATCATTCAGCCTGGGCCAGTTCATATAGTAGCACAGCACAGTGAGATCACCTGGATCCACCTCCCAACTCATCCAACTTTGTATCCTTTTTCCCCCTCCCAAATAACTGAGTCCAACCTGTGCTGTTCATAAACGCCTCAGTGTGGACTTATCGGGAGCCACACCCTTAAACAGAACTGACTTTCCCTCCCCCAGAAGGCTGTCTATATAGCTTGTGAACCTCTCCCATTCCATGCTAGAATGTTGACTGGTTTGATCTTGTACAGGTAACCACAGCTACTGTGAGTTCATGACCGCAAGGGGCCTGTCATGTCCAGAAGACACTGTCTCTCTCCATTCCTCCTGACCTCTGGCTCTATAATATCTTTCTGCCCTATTTCCACTATGGTCACTGAACCCTGGTGTGTGTTATAGATGTCCCATTTATGGCTGAGCACTCTAAATCAGTGAGTTTCAAAACCGTCAACCAGAAATTCTTAAGTGTAGTAGAGCTCTTGCCTGTCATACAGACAGAGATTCAACACCCAGTATCATCAACATAAGCAGACTCCTGAAGCAGAGACCACCCCAGCTTTTATCCTAACATGATGCCAACTACAGCAAAGCTTCCAATAGCACCTTCCCCAGGCTGTGGCTCCATCCAGACAGGACTGTTCTGAGCGCAGAAGGTTTCTGTAGTCAGACATGCTTGTAGAGAATCCTACATCCACTACATGGTTGCCTAGGTGGTTAGGCAGGTCCTCTTGGTCAAGGTCTTGGAAGTACTGAAAATAGTTGAGGTAGAGACACAGCTCAGTGGTAGACTTACCCAGAATGTCTGAGGCCCAGGTTCAATCCCTAGTACTGAAAAATAAGAGGGGAAAGGAAAAAAAAAAAAAAAAAAAGCTGGTGGCTTTTTTTGTACCAGGAACCCCACTGTGGGAACTCATGATGGAAGGATACTGAGCTAGCCAGGTGTGATAGCACACACCTGTAATCTCAGCAAGATAAGGAGTTCAAGGTCAGCCTTGGCTATGACCTAGGCTAGGCACCTAGCCTGGCCTATGTGAAACCCCATTTAACAAACAAACAAACACAAAGGGAAGGTGGGAGGGGAGAGACTTTGGAACAGAGTGCCCAGGCTAGGAAGGCCTTGCTGAGGAAGTGAAGCCCACTCTGGGAACGGAATGACAAGAACAAGCTAGCAGGTGCAGTGGTGCACAGCTGTCATCTCAGCCCCGGGGGAGGCTGAACAAGAGGATCTCTTGAGCTCAAGAGCAGCTTGGGCTAGAGTGAACCCAGGCTCAAACCAAAAGCGACAGGCCACGAGGCGGTGAGGACCCTCTGAGGAGGGTGACACCTCAAAAGCCCTGAGTCTAGAGGACTTAGGCTTCCACACTTAGGCCTAGGTTTCTTATGTCAAGACGTTCCTGGTGGCTGGAGTGAAAGGACACAGGGCTGGGGAGACTTCGGCTCACGTCCCAGAGTAGGCTGTACACCACAGACTGATGAGAGCAGAACAATGGTAACCCAAGAGAAGACAACCATGAAAACCTCTGTCCTCTCTCCACCTTCAGGGCATCTGAAGAGGCGTTTGTGAAGGAATCCAAGGAGGAGACCCCAGGCACAGAGTGGGAGAAGGTGGCCCAGCTGTGTGACTTCAATCCCAAGAGCAGCAAGCAGTGCAAAGATGTGTCCCGCCTGCGCTCGGTGCTCATGTCCCTAAAGCAGACACCGCTGTCCCGCTAGGTGCCTGCCATAAGGATGGCCACAAAGCATGGGCCTTGCTGGGGCAGAGGAACAGCTGCTTCAGCCAGGGTGGAACTTCCTCTGGCAGCTGCCACACACAGCCTGTTCTGTTCCTCTGCATCTCCGGGAGCTGGGAAGTGGGACCCTTACCCCTTTCAACCCCAACTCCCTCCTGGCCCCACGTTCCAGCCCCTCATGACTCCTTTGTGACTGTCCCTCCTGATGTATTTTTTCTTGGCTTAAAGGGTATGTTAACTCTTTTTACACTTATTTATTATTATCCTCATTTCTCTGGAAGCTGCAACTGGTGTCAGGGCTCAGTTTGTGCTTAGAACTTTCCCAGCTTTGTGCCCTTAAGAGGTAATGATGTGTTTTTGGAAACTCTGGAGCTCCCAACTGAAAGTAGGAACCCCAAACTATGTCTGCTGTCTCCTCCAAAAAGAGGAAAGACAAGCTCTCACAGAACACTTTTGCAGCCTTGCTCTTTGTGATTATTTAACAAGCCTGAAGGTAGGGTTTCTGCTAGGAAAACAGGCTCCCAGAACAGAATCAGCCTGCAGTGTAGAGAGCAGCTGAGGCCAGTGGCCTCTACGGTGGTGTCTAAGACTGAGTACATCACCTGCCAGACTTTCTTTCTTGGGAGTGACCAGGGCCCTCTAAGATGTGGCAGGGCCTGCTGCATTGCAGATGTACCTCCCCTCCTCGCCCTTCCTTCCTGTGGACTTGGGATAAACAACAATGACCACACCTCCTTCCCCTTCAGCAGAGGCTGTAAAACAGAACATTTAAGCCATTATGATCTACATGTGTTTAAAAAGATTTGAGTAACTGCCAACAGTATAAGTTCCCTAAGTCTGCCATAACAAAGTACCAAAAACCAGGTGTCTTAGAGCATCAGAAATTTATTGTCTCACAGTTCTGGAGGCTAAATTCCCCAATCAGGGAACCACCAAGCCACTCCTTCTGTGGATGCTAAGCTAAGACCCGTGCCTCTTTTCTAGCTTCCAGTAGTTCAGGCCTTCCTGGGCTTGTAGATACAGCCCTCTAGTTGTCTCCATCTTCCTTCCATGTATGTCTTGTGTGTCCAGTTTTTAAAAAATATGGATACTAGTCTTACTGGATTAAAGCCCATCTTTTTTTTTTTTTTTTTT